CGGGCCGGTGTTGCTATGGACCGAACCGGTCCATCAGATTTCCTTTAGTAGGATTTGAGTGTATTGTTGTGGAATAGAAGTGTACGGGTGGAGGCTAGAAGATGGACATTTTTTCTTTATGCAACTCCATTTTGTTGTGGGGAATGAATGCAAGAAGGCTCATGAATGATCCTTTTTTCAAAAGTAGGAGGATAAAGTTTGATTAAAATAATCTTTGGCATTGTCAGAACGAAATTTTCTTATTTTTATCCCGAATTGATTCTAGATCATGGTGTAAAAATGGGAAGGATAGTGCTCATATCTGATTTATTTTTTAGCAGAAAGGTTCAAGAGACTTGAGTGCAATTATCAATGAATGATACAAACCATCGCGCCCCTAAGATGTTAGGAATTTTTGAGGGTCCTCATATATCACTATGAATAAAGTAGAAATGGATATGAATCTCTTAATTTTGTTTGAAAAAGAAGCTCGTTTATGCTTGACTAACTCACAAATTTCATAATGAAAAGATTCATTTTCGAACTTGTAAAAAAACTTTGGGTACTTATTTTTTAAGACATCAAAAGATGGATGTACTAATCTAAATTGATGAACCGAAATAGTAGATTTTTAATTAAGTAAGGATAATATAGAATAACTATTATTGATAATAGTGGATTTGTTCAGCCCTCTAGGTAGTACAGTCTATATCTCTCCTTAACAAATCCAATCTTCTTCTGCGATCCCTGGTCTTGAAAAAAGCAACAAGTAGGGGTAAGAAGGACTTGACAATTATGATCATTGGTAAGTTTTTGTATAGAGATTAGATTTGTGGATAATTAAGGTACGTTGAGCACATTTTTTAGAGAGACGGAGGGAGATAAGAGTATGCCATTGGCCTACTACTGTGGTAAGAGAACCATCAACAGTGATGATTCTTATCACTCGAGTAAGGATTGTAGTTGATGAAGTGGGTAGTGGAGTATGCCATGTGATATGTGGCTTTTAAGTCAATAATCCATACTCCTTTCAAATGATTTCTAGAGGCATTTAATTCAATGGATATAGAAAATTTACCTGAAAGTACAAGAGAAGAAGATGCAGGTGGTTTTTCAAGTGATACCAGAAATTATTTTAGCTTATCAATATCTTCTTTGTTGAGCTCTCTGAAACTGGACTGTGTTTCTGGGTTGGGTTGAATTGTTGTAGTGTTAGCTTGTGATGTTCCCTTTTGTCTTCTTTGATTTCACTCATTATTTGGGGGCTTTCCATGAAACTTCTAGCATGTATCTTTTGTGTGTTTCTTTTCTTGCAATTACTGCATCAAAAAGAGTCTGTCTTGAGGTTTTGAGAAATCCTTACCTCTTTCCGTCCACGTCGCCTCTTTGGCTATCACCATTGCTAAACCTTCAACAATATTTGGTTCTAGCATTACACCTCATTGGCTTTTCCTCAGCACGAATGAGAGAAATGGTCTTATTTAGTGAGGGTGTCTCCTCTTTGCCAAGGATCTGAACTCTAACTTGGTCAAACTCTGTATTCAATCCGCAAGAAAGTCATACACTCTATCTTTCTCAATAAAGCTTTTTAGGATAGCCGCATCTTCTGGACACTTGGTTTCTATGAATCTGTATTGATCAAGTTCTTGCCACAAGCTTTGAAGAAGAGTGACATATTCAGTCACAGTCTTGCTTTCTTTTTTGTGCTTCCCACCTTGACTTTAATTTCAAAGATTTGTGCATCATCTTGAGCTTTTGAGAAGGTTTTCCTGGCGGCATCCCATATGTCTTTTGCAGTAGATAGGAACATGAAAGTATCGTTAATTTTTGGAATCATGGAATTCCACAACAATGACATGATCATGGAGTCTGTTTCATCCCATGCCTGAAAATTAGGATCTTCTTCTTTTAGTTCGACACTACGGAAGTGATTCATCTTTCCTTTTCCTTTCAAATAGGTCTTCACAAATTGAGACCACTTCAAACAGTTCTTCTCATTTAAGCGATAGGAAGGTTTCATATTTTGGAGATCTCTTCCTTGGTGTACCATAGTGTCCTCCATTTGGTTAAAGCTTTGGGAGGAATTTGCTTTAGACATTACTGCGGCAAAGGGCAGCGATGAAGGTTATATCAAGCAGTGTAGTAATGAAGGCTGCGTTGGTTATAGATAGGATAACACAACAACATGGGAAGGCTGACAATGAAGGTATGACAATACAAAAAAAAAATAGAATTTTCGGCAACAACAATGAAAGCTCTGATACCATGTTAAATTCAGAGAATTGGAGAGGAAAATACTTAATTTTATTGCACAAATTTATTCTTATTTGTAGATCTATACTAGATATCTTAGTAAAGAAATAAATAATTACAGAATAATTCATAATTGTTCTAATATAATCATTCCTAAATTAGCCATCTAAATATGGCTGGAGATCAACGTGATCTAGGTGAGCCTCCCATGGATTCCCTTCTTAGCCGTGAGATCAAAATGCCAAGGGACGACAATGACTTACTAGGTGATCCTCCCATGGATTCCCATCCTAGCCATGGGATCAAAATGCCAAGGGACAGATGGGATTTAAAAATGGCCAACTTTGTGCCATAAAGCATTGCAGGTCTCACCACCATCTTATATAATTTTCCCTTAAGTTTAAGGGGGACTTTTCTTTCGCACAATGATAAGCTCGATGCATTCCTTCACTTCAACCATCCAACTTGAATTCTACTAATAATATCCCCATCTATTTCACTATAACTCTGGATAATAGACATAAGATATCTAAAACATTTACGATTACTAATGACTTGATCATCTATAGTCACAATTGCACAATTGGATTTATTACTACTAAAATTATACTCCATATATTTGATTTTAGATCTACTCAAATGAAAACCTTTAAACTCTAAGGTTGACATCCATAATTTAAGTTTACCTTCAACTCCTCTAGTCTTATCAACAAGAATAATATCATCAACAAAAATCATACATCAGGCTACATCCTCTTGCGAATGTCTAGTAAGAACATTCATGACTAAAGCAAAAAGATATGAGCTTAAAGCTGATCCTTGATGTAATCCAAATGAAATAGGAAAATATTTGGTCCAACCTCCTTGTGTTTGAACTCAAGTAGCAACTTTTGTATATATTTTATTAATGACTTGAGTATAAGCATTATTAAACCCTTTCTTTTCTAAAATTCTCCATAACACTTCTCTTGGAACTTTATCAAAAGTTTTTTTCTAAATCAATAAATATCATATACAGATTCTCCTTATTCTCCCTATACTTCTCTGTCAAATCTCTCAATAAATGTACAGCTTTCATATTAGGCCCACCCGGCATGAATCCAAATTGATTTTGAGAAACATTAGTATCACATTGTAACCTATGCTCAGTAACTCTCTCCCAAAGTCTTAAAGGATGACACATTAACTTAATTTCTCTATAATTCACACGCTCTTATGCATTACTTTTATTCTTAAAATTAGGAATCAACATATTTCTTCACTCATCTGGTATCTTATTCGTCTTCAAAATAATATTGAAAAGTTTCATAAGTCAAAAAATTCTTTCATCTCGTAAGCATTTTCACACATTTATTGGAATATCATAAGGTCTAACAACTTTTCCTCACTTCATTTTCTTTAAAACCTCTCTAACATCGGTTTTACTAATATGCGATAAAAATAAAAATATCTGTTTTTATTTAGGGTGCTAAGATCACTAAAGTCAATCGTATTTTTACAATCTTCATTGAAAAATTAATCAAAATATCTCATCCACCTTTGTTGAATATCCTCGTATAATAAAAACACTTTTTGATCTTCATCCTTGTCACTTGAAATAAATCCATTTATCTCTTGTTTCTTTGTCTGGCTAACTTATACATGCATTGTTAACCTTCCTTAGTATCTAATCTATTATATAAATCATTAAAAGCTAAATATTTTGCATCACATATTGCTCTTAGACTCCTTATGGTTTTTTTTTGTATATTTTCTATTTTTTGAGTCTAATCCAATTTTTATAATAAAGTTTATTTTTTATCTTTTCTTGTACATTTTGATTCCACCACCAACTATTTTTACTATTAGGAGTTTTTAATTTTTGATACTCCAAGCCATCATTTGCAACATTCTTAATATTATTAGTTGTTTTTTTCTCATAATATTAGCTTTCTCATGTACAATCATAATAGTAAGATCTCGAATCTTACTCTAAAAAATATTTTTGTTAGTGTTCTTTAAATGCCCATATGATTGTAGGATAACAATTTACTTTATTTTTATATTCTGCATCCTCATCTTAAAGTCCAAAACTAATAAATGATACTAGATACATAAGCTTTCACTCAGAATAACTTTATAATATTTGCAATCAAAATAATATATTTTATATAATAAATAATCAATTTGAGTTTTACTATATGCATTCTTATAAGTGATAAGATGCTCTTCTCTTTTCTTAAATAAGTTGTTAGCAATTAAAAAATCATAAGCTAAAGAAAAATTTAATATAGTCCTACCACCTGCATAAGTCGCTTCAAAGTTATAACCACGATAAAATCTTCTACCTCTATACTAACATATCCATTTAGATCTCCTGTAATAAAAAAATCTTCAAGTGATATTTTTTATATTAATTCTTCCAAGTCATTTAAAAATTTTAATTTTGAACACATATTTAAACTTACTTGAGGAGCATAAACACTTTTGTTCTTGGATTTCTGTGCACAGAAAGCTCAAAACTCTTAGTCAAATTACTAGCCTGATATTTTGTTCTTGGATCTATACTTGCTACCTATACCTAGACTTGTTAGTTTGTCTAGTGGAGAAAAAACGTAGAGATATGGTGGGCAGGCTTTACGACTGCTGATGAGAGTGAACTAGGGTCTTGCTTGAAGATATTGAGGTTTTTGAAGAGGAAAGAGAAAAACCAACATTTTCGTCTATAATTAATACAAGCACTGTTCAAGCCCTTTTGAAGATTAGATGTGTTTGGAGTGCCTTCCCTTAATTTTCAGTTTTCCATGAGCAAAGCCCACTGGATATGCAATCATTTATCAGACAAAGTATCCGTTCATGTTTAGAATAATTTGCATGAAAATGATATTAAAATACCTTTATTTTCACCAATGTTTTTAGTTTCATTTGACTGGGGTATCGATTCTTGGAGTGCTCGTCACCTGAGAGAATAATATGTAAGTGCTTATGCACAACATTGAGCCACATTATAATAGATTTTATCAGTACAAGGTAACATGGTAACATTTTGAACTTTGTGTATGTAGTGTGCAAGTTACTTAATGGTAACTGCCAATGATAGTGTTAGTGCAATAAAGCATGCATTTTTTTCCACCTAAAAGGATTATTTTGTTTTTTCTTGCTTGTATTGGCGAGTCTTTTGGTTGCTTTATTCATTCTTACTTATGTTGTTTTTGGGAAAATACTTCACCAAATTTCTTCATAGTTCATCTTTTTGTGATTGTATTTGACTACCATCTGTTTAATAAAATAATAATTCTCATACTCTATTGAGGATCTTTCTATCTCCTTCATATTTATTTGGTTAAATATTAATTTGGGTGGTTTTAGGGGTTTTAATAGTTTCATTAATTTATGTTGTATTATCATTAAATTCTAAAAATTTCAAAAGGTATATTCATTATATAATTTTTTGTTAAATTTTATTATTAAAATAATTAGGATATGAAATAACTTTTTTGACATATTGTGTTAGTTACAAGTCATAGTGTCAGACATGGTATGTAATTGGTATCAATTAATATTTTTGACCTATTTTGAAAATTTTGGTGTCAGTTGTGCACCGCAAGAGAAAATTAGTAAATTAAATGGAAATCCTAAACAAAGAGAAAGGATGTACTTTTAGATAAGAAATTTCTTTGCTTAGTCCTTTTGATCAAGGACAAAGGCAAGCAAAAATGGATGGAGAAGCCTTAAAAGAAGCAGCTTAATAGTAGGAACTAGAAAGAGCCTGAAGGCATAATCTGCTGACGCTAATTGGATTCCACAAACGTTTGCATGGTTATTTATATTTTTGTGTATAATAGACTTAAATAATAAACAGTAATTAATTATTAATCTAATTTCATTTTGCATTTCATAAAAAACCTAAATGATAAAATAATCTATTCTATATATTAATCTATCTATTTAATTATGTGATTGCAGCATATTGTTTGTAATAATAGTTATTAAACCTAATGATATTTACTTATTCGAAATTTTTTATCACTTTATTTAATGCATAATTTTGTTAATTAAAAATTATATTATATTATGGCGGGTTTACATTAAAATTTAAAAGAAGTTTTTTGAAGACATGATTTAAACAATGTTAATCTTCTTTGCAAAGTTCAAATTAAAATTATCCCATATCAGTTGAACAAGCCTGATTGGTTTAGTGGTTAGAAAGTGAGCACCAGTTGAAGAAGTTGGTTGGTTTAGTGGTTAGAAAGTGAGCACCAGTTGAAGAAGTCTGGTTGGTTTAGTGGTTTAAGTGGCTTCTTATGTTCGGATTTGATAGTGGAATGCACATAGTAGAGAGAATTTTTCTTACTGTGATGATTTTGCCTGATCCCAGCAAAACTATCTGTTTTCTTTGGCTCAGTGCCCACCAAAGTTGGTCTAGATTGGTTTTGGCTGACTTTTGAAGCCATGGCTTCTTTTATTTTCTATTCTCCTTAACCCCACATAGTGGGATAAAGGCTTGATGTTGTTGTTGTGTTAGCATAATGTTGCTCTTTCATAACTTTATGGTTATAAACTCGTTTTTTATGAAAGTATGTCTAGGTTTTCATGGTTCTATGTTATGTAATCATTATTGTACCTGATTTTTGTTCAATTATATAGGGTGATGGTTATGTGCTTTTAATTAGGTTTTATTGAGAAGAATGACCTTATTTGAGAAAAACTGCGCCACTTCTATGGAAAAGTTATAACTAATATAAATAGATTGCCCGTATCTGATGCACCACTTTACTTTGATATATATATATATGTATGTATGTATTGCCGTGTCCGCGCCGTACCCGTGTCTTATATTTTCAAAAAAAGCCGTGTCCCGTGTCCGTGTCCATGCATCATAGATATTATGTAATTTTAATTAGGCTTTATTGAGAAGAATGACCTTATTTGAGAAAAACGGCGCCACTTCTATCGAAAAGTTATAACTAATATAAATAGATTGCCCGTATCGGATGCACCACTTTACTTTATCTATTTAATTTTAAAGAAAAAAAAAATGCGTTTGCTATTTTTGTTGGCAGCACATTTCTAGTGTTCCTGCATTTATTCTTTGTCTAGTATCTCCATTTTACTTAATTCACCAGGGGAAATTGTTTTTCAGTTGACCTGGTTATCTTGTTTTTTATTTTAGCAACAGCTACCAGGTTTTTTGTCCTTTTGCATTCTTATTTCCTGCTAATATTTTAAAAATTCTTCAGAAAACTGGACTGTTTGTAATTCAACATCTAACTTACCTGTTGTTTAGATGGACTGTTAAAAACTGTTTACTTCAATCACACATTATTAATTAGGTTTCTTCTACTAATTTTTATTAAACTAAATATTTTTTTGGTTATAAAGTAATGGAATTCATGCAAGATAGTTTTTTTTCTCAATAATTTTGTATATTTAATTTATATTACACAACTAAAATAGTCTCCTGACTTTTTAAGTGTATTTTTTAGTCTTAAACTTTTTACGGTGTTTAATTAGTCCCTTATTCACCAAAACTGAACAAATTTGATCCTACCATTAACTTTGCTGTTTATTTGGATGAAAACTATGGGAGGAAAGTTTTTTCGTGAGGGTAATTTGGACATTTGAAAGTCAGGCTCAGTAGATATTAGTTCGATATAACAGGATTGACCCACCCTAGAATGTTCATGATGGTTTCATGAAAAGTTTCTCTCCACTAATTTCCATCCAAAATATGACAAAGTCGATGGTAGGATCAAAATGGTTTAGATTTAATGATTTGAGGGACTAAATTGAACACCTAAAAAAGCTTATGACTGAAATTGATACAGTTAAAAACTCAAAAAGGATTATTTTCATCATTTGCTTGTTTAAAATTCATATCCTCTAATTATTTTCTTTCTTTACTATAATTTATGAGCAATAGGTTCTTATGGATCAACTCTACGATACAAGAGCGTGGAACGGATAAAGCCTATTGGTAAACATACTCTACTTGGTGCAAGTGGAGAAATTAGTGACTTCCAAGAGATCTTGCGCTATCTTGATGAACTAATGTAAAGTCCATTGAATATTCTAATTTAGAGTTTTACAAGAAGTATGATAATATTGCATTTCTTTCTTCTGGTGCCTGTCTTACGAGAAGCGTGATAATTTTATTTAATTTTATTCTTTCTACAGTATTTATGATCATATGTGGGATGATGGAAACTCTCTGGGCCCTAAAGAAGTTCATAACTATTTGAATCGAGTAATGTACAACAGGCGCAACAAATTCAACCCTTTGTGGAACTCACTTGTGGTTGGTGGAGTTAAAAATGGGCAGAAGTATCTGGGGATGGTCAGAAAATTTTTGCTTTATTACAATATTTCCTCTTTTGTTCAAGAAAATCTTCTTGTTTACCAACATGATATGACAATTTTATTCCTGCTTTCTAGGTTGGCATGATTGGAACACATTATGAGGATAACCATGTTGCAACTGGTTTTGGAAATCATTTGGCAAGGCCAATTATGCGTGCGGAATGGCGTGAGGACTTGACCTTTGAGGAGGCTGTAAAAATTCTAGAGAAATGCTTGCTTGTGCTTTTATACCGTGATAGATCAGCTATCAACAAATTTCAGGTATTATTTTAGTTTGATGTTATTTTTTTTTTTGGTATGACTTAGTATCATCATTCTTTGTTATATGCTATTGATTGAGAACAAATAATGGGTGGGTAATGGTTGAAGGAGAAGAGAAACAGGGAATGATGGATAAGAAAGGGAGGAGAATTTTTTAGAAGAAAAAGAGGTTACTTTGATTTAATCCAAGCTTTAATTTCTCAATCAGCAGAGAGTCCCAATGAAAAGGAGTTGGAGCGTAGCCTGTAAACTATTAAAGCACAACAGGATTTGTAATTTTTAAGAATCTTTAAGTTTACTTTCCTGCTTCATAAAGGATGCTATAAAACCTTTGAAAACCACCCAAATTAGTAAATGATGAATTAAAACTCAAGAGATCCAACACATCCATTGGAAACCTAAATGGAACTCTTCGAGAGTCTCTCTTGATTTTTTTTTTCTAGTTAATTCCTGGAAAGGCCGTAAAGCTCTATTGTTCATTATTCTTTATTGAATGGAAAGAATTCTGACTTGTTGGTGTCAAGCCATGATGCTCTTTCAAAGAAAATCCTTGTATAATTAATTTGGATTGTCTTTGCAATTGATGAGAAAGTGTTGAAGGCTTTGTATGGTCAATATGATCATTAAGAATAGCGTCCATGACATTAGTGGTGACTTAGATGGACAGTTATCTCCAAAAGCACTTGTACAAAGGAGGTTGAAAATTCAAAAATGGCAAAATAAGAAGTGCTGTGGTGCGATCATGTACATTAAATCATACACTAATATTTTGTCAGAGGTATTATTTGTATTAGAAACCCATGAATCTATGAATAAGAACCAAAGACTTGAGCATACCATCTTTTGGGGTTTCTAGGAAGTATGACATGCGAACCATGACATAATGATCAGCTTGAAGCTCTTGACCTTATGCATCATCACAACAAGCTTGTAATTTTCATTAAACAAGCTTGTAATTTTCATTAAACGGGGCAATTTCGATATACCGGGGAAAATAATGGGGCGGTTAAAAAATATGGTAATTAAATGAAAGGGTTATATGAAGATTGTTGTTATGGGAGGTATAGCCATGGACTTCTAAAATTGCTCTTGTAGTAGTGTGCCTGATGAAATTTCTGTTCACAAACTTGTCAAGTACTATTTTTCTATATACTCCATAATTAAGCATTGAAGTATTCAAACTAAAGAATTATTGAAAACAGGTATTTCTCCTTTAGTTTGGGTTGTAATCTAAAGAGAACTTTACTGTGATGCCAAATAATTTGGATTAGATTCTGTGAAGATATTTGACAAAATTTACACCCGTTCACATATCATGGTTGAAATATTAGATTTGTCTTTCACAACTTGGGTATTTTGTAATGTTCTAAATTGCAGAGTAACCTTTTTGTGTTTGGTTTACAATAAAGTAGATTCAATTACTTCAAAAGTTGATTCTCTTCATAAATCTTTTGCAAAATGCAGCGGAATAGAACTTGTTTTTTGTGATTTACTTTACAGTGACTATTGGCAATGAATAAAGCACCTTTAGAGGACCTCTGAATCATCTTACGTGTTTTTTCTAAATAAGATAGTATGACGGGAAGACTAGGAAATGTAACTAACCTACTGGATCAGGAAGGAAAGCATTCCTTAACAAGAATATGACATAGCCATACTTATTTCAATATTTGACATCTTGATATATGATGCTAAAGTGCCTAGAACTGATATGCTTATCTTTCATTGTTTTCAATTTCAATCTCTATGAAGCTCAAGGTATTTAGAATTTTAGCTATATGACCTAGGACATAGATAACCTTATTTTTTAGCATAAAAAATACTTATTACACCACTAGAACTTGCTTGGCATGCCCATTATTTCTTTGAAAATTTATTTTCTTCAAAGCTTGGTTGTTAGAAATATAGGTGTTCTTGTGGCGGTAGTCAGTTCTGGAAGTACCTAAAATAGTAAAATGTAGCACATATGCAGACGTCTGTGGTGATTAAATTACCATTACTTTACTGCATTTCTATGCTTGTTGAAAGAAAGTTATATTTTACCCTCGTAGGATTTATTCCCCAAATTTCTATTTTGTGGCATGATAAGCTACTTTGATTGGCTAATTTAAGTGAAATTTTATTAGGATAGAAGGTGATGTTGTTTTCAATTTGATTTCCTCATAGTTTAAAATTGCGCAATGAGGCGCGCCTCTACGCAATTTGCTCCAAAACAACCTCAAAGCCTAAGCAATTTTGAGGCTTAATAAGGCGTATGCCTCAGGTAGATTCAGGCGTGCCTCAATAGCACTGTTGCACAATTTCATATGAGGTGTATGCCTCTAATTTGGGGGCCCACTCACTTAAAAAAACCCTCTTCTCTTCTTCCTTACACCCGCTTACACAAAGACCTGAATCGAAGTCGCGCAGGAAGCATGCAGACGACGCTCGATCCGGCTCTCCCGCTGATTCTGCCACCTCTCCCACTGGCGTCGCCTCTCGCCGATGAGGCTCTTGTTTCCGGCCGCCCCCTCTACATCACTTCTTCAATTGTTCTTAGTTTTTTTTTTAAAGTTAAAGGTTTGATTTTTCAACTTATAGGAAAGCTAGGGTTTTAATATTTTTGAGTTTTTTTGTTTTATTTTGCATTTTTGCTTTAGGAAATATGATTAAGGGCAAGGAAAAGTCTAATACATCATTGCGGAGGGACCCTTTTTAGAAGTACAATGTACAAGTTGACGTAGGAGGCAGTGAGAAGACTTGTGTATTTGAAATGCATTTTTTGTGATAAAGTGGCGAAGGGCCGAGTTACGCGCATGAATGAACACTTATCCGGCTCTCATAAAAACGTAGCACCGTGTGCAAATGTGCCGGACAAGGTGAAGGATAAAATTATTGCTTACATGAACAAAAGTACCACGACAAAACATTTACAACAAGAGCAATTTGATGAAATGGTCGAACAAGGTGCTTACTACGGGAGTGAGAGTGGAAATGACTTTTCCTCCATTATACATAATAGAGGTGCGCGAGATCCTATGGACTGATATATGATTAATCCAGGAGAGGATAGAGGATAAGCACATATAATGCCTGCGGGTGGTACTAGAGAGGGTCGACGTCAGGTTTGTATGGATATTGACAGATTTTTTTTGAGAATGCCATTCCATTTAATGTTGCGACATCGCCGACCTACTTCAATATGTTGCGATCTGTAGGGTTGTATGGGAGAGGGTTGAAGGCACCTTCCATGTACGAGTTGCGAACATGTATTTTGAAGGAGGAGCTGCAGAACACAGAGCAAAGTATTGATGAGATTAAACGGACATGGAGTGTGACTGGTGTTGCCATTATGTCAGATGGATGGTCTGACATGAAGAGCAGGAGCTTGATTAATATCATTGTAAACAATCCCTATGGTACGGTGTTTTTATGATCAGTTTAAGCTTCAGATGAGGTTAAAAATGTTGAATTCTTTTCAATTTATTAAATGGGGTTGTTGAGGAGATTGAAGAGCAATTGGTTGCTCAGGTGGTGACTGACAATGCTAGTGCATACAAAGCAGCTGGTCATATGTTGATGGAGAAGAGGAAACACCTCTATTGGACCCCCTGTGCAGCATACTGTATCGATCTCATATTGGAGGAACTTGGTGATTTACCTCAACACAAGAGCACCCTTTATAGGGCGAAGAAGATCACAAAGTTCATCTATAACCACTCATAGGCCTTAGCCTTAATGAGAAAGTTCTTAAAGAAAGAAATCATTTGCCCTGCTACCACTAGGTTCGTTATTACTTTTGTGCACTGTACATCATTTTCAATTTCTAATGAAGGTTTATTCTACATATTTGCCGCATCTTATTTGACACTACAGAGCCTGCTGGATGTGAGACAACCTTTTGAAGCTATGTTTACATCGATACAATGGCTTAATTTTGCGTGGGGGAAGAAACCTGAGGGGAAGGAAATACGAAGGCTAATTCTAAATGATAAATTTTGGACAAGTGTGACCTATGCCATATTGAGCACGAGACTCTTGGTACAAGTTCTATGTTTAGTGGATGCCAAGAAGAAACCAGCCATGAGTTTTATATATAATGCAATGGATGAGGTAAAGGAGTTGATTGCACATAACTTGGGAGGAGAGGAGGCAAGTTGTAGAGAGATTTGGGATATCATTGATGCTCGGTGGGAGGTCCAGTTACACCGTCATCTACATGTAGCAGCGTATTATCTCAATTCTCAATTTCAGTATTCAGAGAGGAAATCCTCAAATTCAGAGGTGAAGCTGGGCTTGTATCATTGCATGGACCGACTAATTCCTGACCAAATCGTCAGGGAGCTTGTAGATTTAGAGCTTTTTCTATTTTGGAATAGGGAGGGATTTTTTGGTCTGTAAGCAACGAAATCTATTATTGCCAAACACTTTCCAGGCATACTTATTTTTGCAAAGTATCTGTACATGCATAACACTTTAATATGTTATGATTATCATTTTTCTTCTTGAAAATAGTTGAATGGCGGATCCAATTTGGTGATTCCACTCCTGAGTTACAGAGTTTTGCAGTTAGAGTTTTGGACCCCACTTGTTCTTCCTCTGGGTGTGACCGAAACTGGAGCACGTATAGTCAAGTGCAAAGAAGAGAAGAAATCGACTTTCAACACTTAGAATGAACTCCCTTATGTATATTATGTACAATAAGAGGTTGAGAGATAGGAGGTTGAGGAACAAGGGGTTGAAGGATGATGAGGACCCTTTGGTGTGTGATGATGTGGCGTTTGATAATGAGTGATTCATAGATGATGAGACAGATTTGCCATTATCAGACCTACAGCTAGAGGATTTAAGTGTGAATGTTTTGAGGGGCAAAACAGATCAAGTGGGCACATCCACTAATGCCACACCACACACATCTATTAGTTCTGTAGCACAACAAGCAAATAAAAGTATTTCATAATTTCTTTTGTGCTATTGCATTATATATATATGCAATTAATATGACACTAATCATTCTTAGTTAACAAAGAATATAAAAGTGGGTAACA